CCCTGCTGAGTGTGGAGCCAAACACGGGTCTCGATCCCAGTACCCTGAGATCATGACCTGAGCCGAAATCAGGAGTTGGATGCTTAACTGGTTGAGCCTCTCTGGCGTCCTGGAAACCCTGAAGTATTTTTAAATAAAGAGTGACATGGTCAGATGGACATTTTTGAAGAAGCAGTCTGGCTACTGGATGGAGAATAGATGAAGGGAATGAGGGAGAGAGTTGCAAGAGGGAAACTGGGAGGCCCAGCAGGAAGCCATTGCAGTAGTCCCGGCAAGGGATAATGTGGGTTGAATCAGCGTGTTGGCCGTAGAGCTGGAGAAAACTAGAAGGATTTATGATAACGTTTTGGACCTAAGGCCAGGATAAGCTGATGGATGTGGCAAGAGAGTGAAGGGGACACTTGGGCAACTGTGTGGGGCCATTTTCGAAGATGGGGGAGACAAGGAGAGGAGCAGGGCTGGGGGAGGGGAGTCCTGCTTGGTTTGGATGGGAGAGGGCACCCAAGGGAGGAGTCTGGATGATGCCCAGATCCCTGACCCTGCTACTGTGTGGCTGGTGGTGTCATTTCCAGAACCAGCGAGCATGGGCCATGGAGCAGGTTTGGAGAGGAAGCTGGAGGCTTCAGGTTTGCCACCTGGGGCCCAGCTGCCCAGGGGACGCCAAAGGAGACTGCCTAGCAAGAAGCTGCTTTTTGGTTTGTGCTCCAGTTCTGGCCTGTGGGCACAGGTTCTGTATTTGGTGGGGGTCTTTTGGTGGTGGTGGTGGTTGGTCAGTTGGCTTTTTGGTCAGGCAGCAGGCAATTAGCTGCACTTCAGCCTCTCTTCCCTAGATCTCTACCCTCCAAGCAGGGCCCCTAATGAAATGGTCTCTTTCCGATAGATTTTTCATCATAAGACAATTTTAACATAAAAGCAATGTTAATAAAAACCAAATGTTAGCTCAGGCCTTCCAGTAAATCATAATAGATTAGATGCTGCACCGAAATGAATATCCCACTGTGGAAAGGGTTGACCGGTTGGAGGAAGGCACTCGTTGTGATTCAATTGGGCCACATAATGAATTCTGGTTCATATCTGTAATAGCAAATGCAGCCTTCTCTCCTTTGTCAAGTCTGCAGAGGCCTGGCCCAAGGGAGGGGGGTGAGTTCTGCAGCTTTTGTATTCTTAAAGGTTCCCCCACTCCACCCATCACCCTCTTGCCCCATCCATTTATCATTGTTTACCCAAGAGAAATCTCGGGCTTTTTGGGTTTTGTTTTGTTTTCTGAGAAGTTACTGGAACACAGATGAGAGGTATGGGAAAGGTTGAAAGGTAATAGGATAAAAGGAGGCTTTCGTCATGCAGAGAGCTGGCAAACCATCATTTTGGATCTCAACTGACACATAATCAGAACTAGAAGTACGTTGGAAATTGGCCCAACATCTGGTTAGCTTTCGAAATAGTTGGTCTATAGTTTTCCAAAGCTGGCAATGCTTATGTGACTACAGCCAAGGAGACCTCGCGTGGTCAAAACAAAACACATTTTTTGCCCATCATTTACCTGGTCCTGTTGTGGCCTCTTTAGCCAGGGTGTCAGTCTGCATCTTTTTATGTAGCTTTGGTCTGGGTCTTTTCTACCCCTCTCCTGGGTGGCGGCTCCTGCTAAGGAGGCCGAATCCAGAAGTCAGAACTTAGAAGGGAAGCTTAGGAACTGATTCCTGACATCATGGAGCCGCACCCTTCCCTTCTATTTTGGACTCTTTGAATTCATTGGGAGTCCCCCCACCCCACCGCCTTCCCCCGAACCCTGTGATCACTGAGTGGAAGCGATGCAGAGGGAGACCCTTTCTGAGTCATTTGGACAGAGCAGGACCTGACCCCAGCACGAAGGGAACGAGGAAGCATGTGGTCTGCTGGAAGTCTGAACGTGCTAGTGCGTCTTCCCAGGCCATGTGAAGTACATCTGGGTTTCTTTGGAATTTCTCTGTTGCTCAGTACTTAAGGGTTGAAGCAAATAGGACAATATATTATCCACAATGTTTATTTCAGTCAGACGGGAATGGCTAGCAAAGAAACTCAGTCAGGCTTGCGACAAAATCTGCCTTTCAGTGCCTAAAAACCTGGTGTGTGTGTGTGTGTGTGTGTGTGTGTCCCCACATGTGTGCCATTTCCCTGTTCACATGCATATTCTTGTCATATCGTGACATCGACCCTGTTCATTAACAACTCTCAGCCACTAATTTGTTTGGACCCAGAAGAACGTCTGGAGCTTTTGAATGACTGCACAGGCCTTGAAAGCCAAGGGCAGGGATGGGATCATTCAGAGTAACAGAGGGGCTTTTAGAGGCTGTGGTGGGAGAAAAAAGAGAGAGGGGAAGGAACTGAGGCACCTGGTCCAGGAGAAACTTTGGGGAAAGAACAGAGATGCTCAAAGGGTTTTTGTTTGTTTGTTTTTACAAGGTTTTTCTGTGTGTTGTATGGAGTCGACCCTGTTCTCTGTCTCCCCAGTGGCTGGTGGTAAAATCCACTTCACATAGAATGCGTTGTAACACCAAGTCTGTTTTGGGGAGAGTGCCTTGAGGAGAGAGATCACCTTGAGTGGTTGGGGGGCAATGGAGACCACTCCAGAGTAGGCATGAGCGCAACCAGATCATATCATCTCCCGTTAGCTGCCCTCCGGGGATCTTGGCAGGTAAGCCTCGCCTGACCCTTTACCCCAATGTCTGCTTCATCGCTTCCCTCCAGGGCCCCTCCATCCCCCGCCCTCCCGAAGTTTTACCACACTCCATGCAGGAGCTCCTTGTGCAGCTCGAGGCAAATTCTCGCTCGTCCTTAGACTCCTACCCGAGCAGCTTGTCCCTGAGTTGGCCCCCAAACAGCATAGTGTTTGGAAGTTAGCTGGATCTCGTCCACCTTTGGGATCCTCCTATTCTGACAATGCTGCCAACTTGCTCTGTTACCTTGGAGACGTGACTTAACATCTCTGGGCCCTAATTTCCAGCTAGAGGAGGAGGTTGCACTGGAATCTGGTCCTGTGAAGTTCTTGAAGGAAGTGTCTCTGTCCCTCGGGGTCCCCCTCTTCACAGAGAGTGGATCCACTAGTTGAGGGAGGTCAGGATAACCTTGGAGTGTTTTTCTTCCTGTTGAGAGAAGATTTTGCCACAGATTTTCTCATTTTTGACAAATTCTCAGGGAGTGGGGGCAGTCATAGGAAAGAGACAAAATGTGGAAATTCAAGACCCAGTTCAAGTCTCAGTCTATCCCGGTTCTGCTGACCACCGCCATATTCCTGAGGGAGCCAGCAGCTGGGCCCCTCTGCTGGCCTCGTTGAGGGGGGATGAGAGATGGTCCAACCAGGGAGCATTTTTCCCCAGAACCACTGACTGACAGTTCCCAAAGGGCCAGAAAGGGGAGGACAGAGAGATGTGGGGGTGGTGTTGACATCTCTGAGGAAAAAAAACAGCCGCCAAAAAGATTCAGTTGGTATTCTTCTTGCCATTCAATAAACCAGGGCGCTTCAGAGCTGGACATGGAGCATCAAGATGGGATATAGAATCCACAAATTAAATTTTCTCTGCAATCGGATTTTTTGATGAAGCCACGTTAGGGAGGTGTGCTCGTGAAAACTACCCAGCTCGAGCCCTCAAGCCGTCCCTCACCCGTGTCATCTCCTTGGCATGGCTCAGCCTTTGGTTTGGAGCTGGAAGGAATTCAATAAAGCAAGATATATTGTTATGGTTTATTACGTCAATGTGTGTGTGTAGGAGTCACTTAGGAAGCAGACAGTCAGCTCTTCAATGCTATCCTCCTCTGTTTTGTCAAGGTTCTAAATGAAGCGTCATCTAGTACTCAAGGGGCCGTATTTCAAGAGTTCCGAGAAGTGCCACCTTCCCCCCTTTTGTAGAATAACAGGAAAAGACGTGCTTTCAGCACAAACAATCCATTCAGCTTTCCAACCTTGGATCAAGTGAAATGTTTGTTTCTGTGAGTGTATTTTTCCAGAGCCACGTTAGAAGAGAGATAAGGATTTGGGGCAACCCTCACCGCACACCTGGCCTGCTGAAGTAGTCTGCACAGGTCCTCCTGCCGCCCTGGCCCCCAGGTTCTGCTTTAGGGGAGATGACCCTGAGGTCACAGTTGGACTTGTGTGCGCTCCCGTTCTCTCTGCCCAGCCGCCCCTCCCCTGTCTTGTCTTTTGTCTTTGAAATGCTGTTCGTGTTTCTTGGCAGAAAAACGATTCCTTTGCCTCTTCAAGAGAGACCCGCACTATTGGCATCTCTGTATTTGCACCTCTCTGTTGTAGGATGTAGCCTGATGTCTCTATGCCAACACCGCCCCTTGCCCAGTGCAGCGCTGGCCCCCGCCTGTGCGTTTGAGTGGTGGGCCCGGCTCCTTGAGTTGGCTGCCAAGAGCTTGAGGTGCAACTCTTGGGCATGACTGTAATTTCCTTTCCGTCTGGTCCGTTCCTCTTGGTCTGCATTTCCCCCACCGTGGAATGTGTCTGATCCAGGGGTGGCCTCTGGTGGCATGCAGACCTGGCGTGGGACGGTGCAGCAGCACGCCGTACAGAACCTACTCCTTTTCCGTCCCTGTTCTGAGCCCCCCGATTATGTCTAGGAGCTTGTCACCGTTTGGGGCTGGTATGTCTTCCGCACCTCTTAAGTACCTGCCAATCCCCCCTTTTTAACAAAGAGAGCAGGTCTCGGACCATGATGAGTAGTAGCTAGTCAGTCAGGTCTTTGGCTAAAATGTAAAAACATTGTCTTTTTCTTTTGCACAGTGACTGTCCATGTTGCGGCAATGCTGATTTCCCCTTTACAAACGGTGATAGAAAATGTTTTAATATGTGGATTTAAGTTCCATTCACAGAGGACTCTGCAGTAGGTGAGGGGTCAGGCAGTGCCAGCCATGGCAGAAATCACGGAGATAGACCACGGCTGCCGAGGGTAGGGCGGCCCCGCGCTGAGGCGCCTTCCTGGATGAGTGACTCCACCGACAGCCTGCCCCTTTCTGTGTTCCAGGCATGGATCCTGAGAAACTCGAGCAAATCCAGCTCCCAGTGCCTGGTGCGGCCGAGAAGACCACCTACAACCATCTCCTGGCCGAGAGACTCATCAGGATCATGAACAACGCAGCCCAGCCAGGTGCCTGGGGTGTGGCTGCTCACAGGGGCAGCGGAGGTAGAGGGCCCAGGCCCCTGGGCCGTGCACCAGGAGTCCTAGGTTCTAGACCTGGCCCTTCTGGGAATGCAGGCTGGTGGCAGGCACTCCCTGGGCCGTGCGTACCTGGGCCCCCCATCCCATCCTGTCCAGCCGCATCTTCACCTGGGGGCCTCCTCCTTCCTCCCCTGTGGCATTTGTGCTGGACCCTGTCTTTCCTCTCCTTCCACACCCAACCGTTCTTTTGCCAAGGACAAGGCCCCGTCTGAGTGTGAACCAGGCTGAGAGTGCACATGAGGGAAGGCTGGAAGGTTCGCATCGGGGGCTCTTGAGAGTACAAGACATGCCCAGTGTCTGGCACTTGTCAGCCCAGTTCTGAGGTTTTGGCTGAGGATCTGCCACCATGGCAAGGGCTAGAAACAGCAGGTGGAATGATCTAGTACAGTGGTTCTTAAGTGAGATCAACTTTGCCCCCTGGGGGACATTTGGCAACGTCCAGAGACATTTTTGGTTGTCACAGCTTGAGGAGGGGTGCTATTGGCATCTAGGGGCCAGGGATGCTGCTGAACATCCTTAGTGCACAGGATGGCCTCCAATGACAGAGGATCATCTGACCCAAAACATCGGCAGGGCTGAGCTTGAGAAACCCTGATGGCAAAGCCAGTTCTCTGTAGAGGCAGCGAGAGAGAGACCATCAGGGTGTGAGTGAGAGCACAGAAATGGGCCTGACGGAGACGCGGCCTGGTTGAGAGAGAACCCCTGAGCTGTACAGTAGGAACAGTGTGGGGATGAGCCCAGGTCAGGCTCAGGAGAAGGACAGGGGTGGGGGTTGTGGTCGTAGGCCAGGACTTCAGAGGTCACAGGGCGTGGGCTCTGCCAGGCGGCCAGAAGCCCAGTGGGACTTTGGGGAGACAGTATAGAGGCTTGGGGAATGGGGTCCATGGACAAATGTTTATCGAGTGCCAGCCGCTGTGTGCAAATGACGAGGGTACAGGAGGTGCAGGACAGATGTGGCTCCTGCCTTCCAGGAGCCACAGCTGGGGGTCTTTGAAGTCCCAGGGGTCTGGGCCTCCATGTGGAGATAGAATCTAGAGCTCATGGGGGTCAGGACCAGAGCTGACCTTGTGGGACTCACTCACAGACATGGGGGTGATCTTTAAAGCCCCAGGAGAGAAGAGAGGTATGTTGGGACCAAGCCCTGGGCCACTACAAGTGTCTCAAGGTGACAGCGCAGGAGCCAGCATGGCACCCTGAGCCAGGTCCCACACGGACGAGGGGCAGCAAGAGAGACAGGTGTGGCTCAGGACCAAGGGCGCTCAGTGGGGTCAGTTTTGTACTGAGAGATCTAGCGCAGGGAGCAGAGTTCATCCCTGAGGATGGTGGCTGGGGGGGCAGTTGGCGGGAGCTGTCTGAGCAGATGTGGCTCGGTGGTCAGGGAAGGTAGGATGTGGCCCGGATGTTAGAGAGGAGCCTCCAGGGCGGGGAAGGACAGCCAGCCCCTTGAGGGGGCCAGTGGGAGGAAGTCAGCACCTGGCAGGAGCTTGCAAAGGAAGGAGGGTCTGGTTGGAAGATCACACTCCCCTTCCCTGGAGGCAGCAGCAGGGGGCAGTGGCTGGGCCAGTGGGATTCCGCGGAGGGGCAGGCAAGAGTGAGGCCGTGCCCTAGAGAGCGGGAGGTGGGAGGCGGGAGGCGGGAGGCGGGAGGGCGTGGCCAGCAGGGTGGCCGTACAGAAGCCGTGTTCGTGCCGGGCTGATGGGGCTAGAGAGCGAGACAGAGCCACGGAGCTGAGACCAAGCAGGCTTTCCCAGTGAACGCTTCCCCCTTCCCCCGTTCCCCACCAGATGGGTGAAGCAGGAAGTGGGGGTGGGCAGGGAGGCGTGCAGTGGTACATCTACCTTGAGTTTTTCCCAGTAGCCGGTCCTGACGTCTGGGGTTTCCAGGGCCTCAGGGCTGTGGCCTGGAGACTTCTTCCTCTCCTCGCCCCTCCTTACATTGAGACATCTCCCCAGAAAGGTGCTTAAAGACCCAGTGAGCAGTTTGCCTAAGAGCAGGTTGTTCTCCTGTCAGGCGGCCACAGATGCTTCTAGGAGCAGTGCCCAACGTGGGTCTTGGCATTCAGAGCACCTGGAGTCCCAGGGTGAGACTTTGGACAAGTCAGTTCACTTTCCCGAACCTCAGTCTTTAGAGCACCCACCGCAGTGGGTTTTTGCAGAGACTCCTGGAGGGAGGGTCTGTAACGTGCCCAGCACCGTGCCTGGCTCACAGTAGTGTAGCAGGTAGGTTGCCGTCGACAGAAACCCGACTCAGACAGGCTGAAACAATACGAACAAACTACTGGCTTGTGTAACTTGAAGTCTTCTGGAGCCTGGCTTCAGGCACCGCTGGATACAGAAACTCAAAGAATGTTTTCAGGACTATTTTTGGACTCTCCCACTTTGTGTGTTAGCAGGATAACTACCAGCTGCAGCTCCAGCCCTCCCTTTCCCTTCCAGGGTTCGGACCTTGCTGTAGGAGACATACTCTGGGCAGTCTGATGGGAAGGGTGGACTTGGATGCACGATGGAAAACTCAGGCGAGGGTGCAGAGGTGGCCAGTGTGGATTATAAGGCTTGTGCTGCTCAGGCCCCGTCAGGGCCCCGGCACTGTTCCTGTCCTGCCCTCAGCCCAGCACGAGGAGACCTCCTCTTGCTCAGTGGTCCCAGCATGTTGTGGAATTGAGCCTTACTGGCTCTGACCGGCCCCCCTTGCCCATTCCCTCCCCAGTCACTGTGACCGGAGGAATAGAGCACCCTGACCAGCCTGGGTGATATGCCCCTCCCTGGGACGGAGCAAAGGGACTGGCCCCACCCAAATTAGAGACCCAAGAGTGGGGTTGGTGATTCTCCAAAGGAAAGAGTAGTGCTTTTTCCTGAAAAGGGGAGGGAACCCAGCCAAGGAAAGCAACCACAGATGGCCACTTTCCCCACCTTCAGGAATAATTAGTAATAATCTTTTTCCTGCCTCCTTTCCAGTGATAAAGGGAGTGCAGGTGAGTATTTGGTGTGGGCGTTTTGGATGGAACATTCTATTGTAATTGGGAAGGGGTTGGCATGTGAGTTCCCTCTGTGTCCCCACTGGATGTCAAGGGCCGTCAGCTGACCTGTTAACCTCAAAGTGGGCAAGGCAAGAAACTGTGTCTAAGGCCTTCCCGCCAGGCTGTGCGAGGCTGACCCTGCTTTCCCCTGCAGATGGGAAGATCCGGTTGGCGACGCTGGAGCTGAGCTGCCTGCTCCTAAAGCAGCAAGTGGTGACCAGCACGGGCTGCATCATAAAGGACGTGCACCTGGCCTGCCTGGAGGTGAGGGCCCCCCTCCCATCGCCTGGGTTCCGCGGGAGGCCGTGCGTGGGAAGGAAACTGCTGGATCCAGATGGGAGCCCCGGTCCTGGGGTCCGCAGCACCGGCGAGAAGCAGGGCCTGATAGCCCTGATCCCCCACTGCAACCCCCTTGTTCCGGTGGAATTACCCTTCCTCTGAGACTGGCTCGGTGAGCCCTCTTAATTAGTGAATTTCAGTAATTTCTTTGACAGCTGTTGGCCCTGTATTTGTCAATCGGAATTTTAATATTTTCCTTTAGGTATTAGAAAAATGTTACACATATCCAAACACACGCATGCTTTTTGTGTTTTTATAGTGCTAATATTGATATTCATTGTTTTTTAGTTTCTATTGTTTTCCCCCTTATTTTTCATGTTTTTTTGAGAAAATTTAGAAAGTACAAAGGTAAAAAGGAACAGCTATAGTTGACACTTTGGCGTGTGTCTTTCCAGATACCCACACTGACACATTTATAAGAGTCACCATGGCCATGTTTTGTAACCCGCTTCCCCCACCTAACTGTATGTTAACAACTTTCCAGAATCCCCTCTCTTTGCCCATTTTTATTTTAAGCTAGCCCTCCCGCCCTCCCTCCTTCCCTCCCTATTACAAACCACTCTGTTGGTTTAGGGATATGAGCCCAGCCTCTCATCTGCTTGATATGCACTCAGATTTTGGAACCGGTAACTTACCCAACTCACCGGCCTCCTTCCCGCCTTCCCTCTCTCAACAGGGCGCGAGAGAAGAAAGCGTTCACCTAGTGCGGCACTTTTATAAGGTAAGTGGCCAGAGTGCAGGGGAAGGCAGTGTGCTGTGCATCACAGACACAAGATTGTAGTATCTAGGCGTGCGCACGTGCAGATCACAAGTCCGTGGTGACTTCTTATACTAAGCACGCGCCATGTCAAGCCCCCAAGCAGCGGGCCGTGCGCTCTTCTTAGTGGTACCCCATCTGAGGACCCCTAGTCTGTGACAGTTTGTTTATCAATGATAAATGATTTTGTTTACTAATGAATCTACATATAAATGTGAATTACATGCATGCACGGGACTAAGTTACGTATGTAAATTAATATATGCATGAGGTATGTATGTTTTCCATATAAAATAACTTTTGAATTACTCATGAATTCCACGCATGTATGTCATTTACAGACATGTATGCCAAGACACCTCATACAGGCTTCTAATCCTTTATCATTAAGTTTAGTGAGATTCTGTAAAGGGCCACCAGGACTCTGAGTCACCGAGGAGTTTGTAGATGTCCTCTTCAGATTCCATATGGTTAGGTTTGAAATATCTCACTGTGATGGTTTTGTTTTGCTCTATATCTAAAGCATGACATATTCTTAGGGAAGCACATCATCTGTCAGCAGGAGATGGATTAATCCACATTCACACTGGCCCTGTGGCTCCCCGAGTTTTTGACCTCCACGTCAGGTCTCTCCAGGTCCACTTAGCCAGGGTTTCCCCTGGTCATTTGGCTGATCCAGAGAACCTCTCTGGAGGAGGAAAGGTGTTGGCACTGCCGTCTTCTTGTTGTTCAACTGCTTTCATTATCTGTAGTCTCCACAAACTGCCGTGAATCATAGGCACATATGCAGCAGATCCCTTTTCTTTGCAGGAAGCTTTTTAAGCCACTGTCTGTTATTGTCAGTGTTCGTTGAGAGAAAACGAGGTCTTATAATCTGGAAATCCACCTCGCCAGGCGCAGATGACCCCATGCAGCTGTAACATGGTGGATGTGCCCAGATAAGGGTGGACCACTGTGGGCCCCCACGCATTGGGGAGGAGATCCCAGGTTCCCATAAACCATCCCGAGGGGCTTGACCTCTGAGCGAGGATACAAGTCCTCAGCAAAGCCCAGAAGAGAGTGGGAGCCTCACGGCTGCATTAGTCATCTTTGGGTCTCTTTCCAGGATAACTGCTCTTCGTTTGTTTCCCCCCCTAGAAAGCCTTTGCTTTGCAGTCAGAAAGACAGAGATACATAGGTAGGCATTTTCCCAGAGGGTTTATCTTTAGCCAAAAGAGAGCTATATTTGAATTGTAGCTCACTTCTCCCTACCCAGACTGTTCATTTGTCCTATAAGTGTTATTCCCTGAGTATAATATCTCAGAAGCTTTTGGATGTTCTCAGGATTGTGATTCTTGTGGTTCTTACGTGATTCTTACGCCATGCAAGAATATTGAAGTTTCAACTGGAAAAATATATGAAGGATTTGCTCCTTTTCCCATCCTGACCGTGTGTGTGTGAGTGAGAGAGGGAGAAAGAGAGAGAGAGAGAGAGATTCAGGACTTAGGAGAGAGGACAGTTTGAATGGTCATGATGCATCCAGCTGAATCTCCACTCCTCTCCCTACCTGTGCTGCATCCGGGGCTGACTGTAATGACCATGAGTGCTAGCATTTACCAGTCCCAACTGAGTGGCAGGCTCTGTGGTCAGCACTTTACTCGGGTTAACTCCTGTCATCCTCACAGTGACCCGCATAGACGTGGACTGTCATTCCAGTCTTGCCGCGAACCAGAGAGAGGCTCTGAGAGGTAAAGCTGGGATTGGGCCCCTGGTTTGCGTGTCTCAGAGCCAGAGTCTTACCCACTGCAGCCCTGCAGAACTGCAGAGCCTCACAGGTGTGCCTCAGAAATGACTGGAACAAGCTCTGTAATTTTAGTGTTAAGTATGCTTAATTATACGCTTCCTTTCTGGGGCGTGGAGCCTCATAGATTAACATGGCACCTGAACCAGGCTTCCCGTTTCTCCAACCCTTCTCAACACGTAGATGATGTGAAACACTTGCAATTTCACCCACTTTTATAGTTTAATTATAAATGGTGTTATTTTTGTTGTCTTAATTAGCTGCCTTGACAGAAGGAATCTAACTCTACATGCTTTAAAAAAAAAAAAAAGGAGAGAAACGTTGAGAGGTGCAATATGATATTTGGGCTTTCGTTTGAGCGTGTGTGTTCGTGTTCACGTGTGTGTCTTACTTCCTGGTGATTTACGAGAACTCACTGATGAGAACCAGATGGCCCCAACAGCCATGAACTGGAGTTTATAATAATTTGGTGTTTATGGAAAAAATATGCATAATCTCTCTCCCTTCCTCTTTTTAGGGAGAAGAAATTTTCTTGGACATGTTTGAAGATGAGTACAGGAGCATGACAGTAAGTGAGGGGCCAGGATGCACTTGGTTGCCCGCACGGCTCGTCCAGCAAAACTGAGAGAAAGCTGTCTAACTGGGGCCTTTCCGACTGAGATTGGTGGGGAAGTGAATTGGAAATGGTGCCTTTTGATCCCCGCCATTGGTAAAATTTCAGATGACCCCCACTTCCCCTCTGTGGGCTGTGCCATAGATGGGCCGGAAAGATTCACTTTGACACGAATAATATTTGAGGACTCGTGCCGTGTCAGGAGTGTAGAACACGTTGTACGTGTTCATCCTTTTACTGCCCCTGTCACCCTGATGGGAGGGGCTGCTAGCATAGACTCCTATCACCCCGATCAGGAGGCGAGGCTAAGAGGTCAAGTGAGGCCCCATGCCTATCCAGCCAGGGAGGTGCAGGGCCAGGATTCCAAAGCACAGCAGTTTGCCTCCAGTGCCCTGCCCTTCTTTGCTGTGCCACTGGAATGTTCCAGCGTGTTGCTTATCCTTGAATCCACAGCACTGGCCCAGAGTCTGCCCTGTTTCCCTCTGTCCATCAGGCATAGTCATGGGAAAAGATCGGGTTAGAAGATTTGCGGCTTTCTCTGTTTTGTTCATTTCTATGCATCCCTATCGTCTGACCCTTAGTTGGCACTCAGTAAATAGATGATAAATGTCCTTTTCATGGACATTGCTCATCAAAGAGTGAGGGCGTCTAGGTGGCTCAGTCGGTTAAGCGTCTGCCTTCGGCTCAGTTCATGATCCCAGGGTCCTGGGATTGAGCCCTGGCATCAGGCTCCCTGCTCCGCGGGGAGTCTGCTTCTCCCTCTTCCTCTCTCTCTCTCTGTCGCTCATGAATAAATAGGTAAAATCTTTAAAAAAAAAAAAAAAAAAAAAAGAGTGAAATGATTCCAGAAGTTTATAGTAAACCTAAGTGTCTAAACTGTCACAAAGTCAAAAGCAGCTTGCTCTAAGTGTCTCCTGGCTCCCAAGCCCATCTCACCGGGTATGGACTGCTGGGCCCTTACCACATCCTCGCCCTCGGCACTTCTAAGGCCTCTGCGGAGCCTATTCCAGGGAAAATTGTAAATTGGCATAGATCATCTCCAGAAATACCCCAGGAGCGCCCAAGGCCGCCTCTGGTGAGGTATAGGCTGCTCGGGTGTGCCTCACACCTGGCGATGGCCACTGCTCCCCATTATTCCCCCAGCCCCTGGAAGGGTGTCTCAGTCTTCTACTCTTTGGACCGGTAGTTAGAGTGGGGTGGATTTGGGAGTTAGCCACCATTTCATCTTGCCCCTGTGATGTCCCCTTCTGCAATGTAATTCTCCACAGTTTGGTTTCCTGTTGGAAACGTAAGGCTCCTATGTTGCTTGATGATACAGAAAAGCTCAGGCTCCTAAACCCCTGCTCAGTTTCTGCCTTTTTTTTTTTTTTAAGATTTTATTTACTTACTTATTAGAGAGAGAGAACACATGGTGCATGTGTGAGCAGGGGGAGAAGCAGAGAGGGAGGGGCCGAGGGAGAGGGACGGAGTCTCAAGCCGACTCCCCACTGAGCTTGACGCAGGGCTGGATCCCACAACCCTGAGATCATGATCTGAGCCAAAACCAAGAGTGTTATACTTAACCAAGTGAGCCACCCGGGCGCCCCTCTGCTGTTGTTACTTACTAACTGCGTGACCTTCAGTGGGTTGCTTACATTCTGCACTTTCATTTTTTCCATCTGTAAGATGGGGCCCAAACCACGTGCCTGGGTCTGAAGTACCTGAGAGGCACCTCCTGTGGGGTGTGTGCGCACGGAATATCTGCTTCCTCTCCCTCTTGCCATGGGGAGCTTCTGGGGCTGTGTTTGTGTGTCTTGTCCCATGTTTACTGTGTGGTCTGCACAGGGCCTGGCCCTCTGGAGAAATATACAGGGGGCACATCCCCAGCCCCCATACCTGAACGTCATTCCTGAGGTCGGACTCGAGGAAAGCAGCCGCTGAGCTCAATGAAGTGGGAGATAGGCCCTTGGGTGCTCATGGAGACCCCTGCACTGAAGCCATGCCTTCATGTTGGACCCTTGTTCACTTCTCTTATCACCTATTTAGCGCAGAGGTGTAATGAGTGCAACAGAAGCCGTCGGCACTGCTCACCGGGAAGGTGGTGGAGGGAGGTGGGGCAGAGCAGAGGGGGGCTGCTGGGGAACGGCAGGCAGGCTGGAAGGCGATGCCAAGGGTGGCCCTGGGGTGGGACTCAGGGCTCTGCCACCCGGTCCCAGGATAAAGGGGTTCAGGATGGGGGACCCCAGGCCTTTGGGGGGGTGGCTAAAAGAAAAAGGCAGCACGAACTAAGTGTCTCTTTGGCTCCCCAGCCCAAACAGCTGGGCCTTCACCACAACTGCCCCATGTGGTCAGCTATGTATATGTTCCAGGAGAGGGAGAGAGTGTAATACGATTAAAGCCCACTTTCTGAAAAAACAAAAAAAAAAAAAACAAGAAGACACACAAAAAAGCATGTGATGCTTGGAGGAGTAAAGTTAATTCTGTAGGAAATGTACCCTGTGAAATGTCATTCCTTTATGATGTCAGGGAAATGAAGTGTCCGTGTCCAACAACACGTGCACATTCAATGTCCGTACTGATACAGCAGAGTTCCAGGAGGGGAGGTGTCGATACCATATGTCATCGTAATCAGAGAAGACTTCCCGGAGGTGGTGTGGAAGCAGGCAGACAGTTGTGCTCCTGTGTGGCCCAGGGGCTGTGGGCATACGCCCTTCCTCTGAGCTCAGTGTCCCCCTCTGTAATAAGGAACAGCATCAGCACTGCTGTCCAGCAGGAGGTGAGCCCTGTGGGCGCCTGGCACTTAGTAGATGCTCAGTAAGTGACTTTGTTGTATGATCCCAGGTAAAGACAGCGAGGTGGTGAGGAAGGAAGGGGATGGTGGTCATGTGGCAGGAGTCACGGGGTCTGGAGCAGGGCAGGCCTGGGTCTGCGTCTTAGTTCTGCCACCTGCCGCCTGAGTCTCCATTTTCTCATTAGCGGATTGGGAAACATCCCTTCTGGAGTCATTGGGAGGATTAAGGAGGATCACACACTCAAAGCCTGTAGGTCACCGCCTGCCCGCAGTCCGTAGCCCACTCTGGATAAACGATAACTGGGAGCTGCCATCGCTAGTCTGCTGTCGTCATTCTTGACAGCACAAAGGGAGGGAGGCGGGCTGCGGTCAGGGCCCCGCTCCTTGCCGGGTCGGGGGGTCGTGAGCCGGTGGGAGAGCACAGCTTTTCACAGCATGGAGGCAGCTTCCCAGGAGTGTCTGAGCTGTCACTTCAAGGGAAGGAAAGGTCTGTGTCTTGGGAAACAACGGCGCATGTCTCGCACGCCTGGCTGCCTTGAGACCTCATGCTAGCCTTAATGTGGGCTTGCTTTACTCACTAGCTGTGCGCAGGTACAGGCGAGGGGTCTGGGTAACCTGCCCCATGCTCTTCCTCCCTTCGGTGAGGTTTCCTGTGATGTCTCTCCTAGATGAAGCCCATGAATGTGGAGTATCTCATGATGGACGCCTCCATCCTGCTGCCCCCCACGGGCACGCCGCTGACCGGCATTGACTTTGTAAAGCGGCTGCCGTGCGGCGACGTGGAGAAGACCCGGCGGGTGAGTAAGCGTAGGCGGGACCCCCCTCTCCCTGGGCCGCCATCTGACCAGGTCCAGAGCCCACCTTCCAACCCACTTCGACAACCCCCTGGCACCCTGCCACCGGGAGGAACTTCCCAAGGTGAGCTGCTCTTGGCTAAAACAGATTGAGATTCCCCTGTGTGAGGGCCAGGCAGGCTGCCTTGGCTGGTGCAGAGCAGGGCCCCGGCCCCAGCCCCAGGCTCTGGGGAGGAACCCCTCTGGGCTGCTGCCAGGCACCTGGGGGAGTGAGCTGAGAACAGGCAGTGCAGGTGAGGCCCTGGTGTGAAATCCTCTCCCAGGGAGGCTCGGGACCCCCGGAGATGGCGCAATGGTGTTCTGGTAAGGTATCTGAGGGATCTGGGGGTGAGGCACACACAAATAAGATTGTGACTCTTGCCAGTCCACTCCCACGTGTGAAAAGCAGAGAAGTTCTCAGAACCCTGCTGGAGTGTGCGCCTCTTATCAACACTTTTTTTCTGAAGCAGTCTCGCAGGGCTGTTCACAGTATTTTATCTCTCGCATAAGATCAGTTTCTTTCTTAGAAAGCACCATCACCTCTTCCTAGAAAATCATTCCCTGGAGACATGATGGGATAAATTCGATGAGTTCCTTGCCCTCTTCTTCTCAGCTAATCCCCGTTCTAACCAGAGCGGTAGAGGTGTTAATTTTGGGATTTTGAGAAGCAGGAGTGACCTGCTGGATCTGCCTCAAACAGGAGGATCCGATGATTTGGCCTCAGAGGCCTGGGGTGGAGGGTGGTGCAGAGGAAGTCCAACCTGTGTGTTTTAAGTCAGTGCACATTCCCTGCTGTCTGACCAAACCCGCAGACCTCACCACAGGACCCACCCTGTCTGAGCCAGTGACACCCGCCTTCCTCGTGCTCCCAGCCAGCCCTGCAGGCCCCGTGGCTGGGCACACGAGCATGTTTGTGGGTGGCAGTGTTTGCACTGGGCATCACTGGCCCCGGCTTCACCACGGGGCTGGTTCTGACAAACGCGGGTTGTGTTGGCAACTCCTTCACGGGCGGGCACGCTCACCCGTAGCCTTTGGTTGGCCTCGGAAATGTTCCGTGGCGAGGCTAGAGTGAAGGTCCTGTCCCCGAGGCCCGCCTCGTCCCCTGAGCCAGCGGTCCGGAAGGCTGTGAATGGGGAGAGCTGCCACTCTGGGTTGCCCTCTGCCTTCTTTTTGGTCCCTGGGCCCCCAGTTTTCTCAACACTTAGATGAGCTTCTCTTTGATACCAAGTGAGTCATTCACATCAGTTCTTTATGTGAACCTCCTCATGTAATTCTACAACCGTCCTAAGAAGTTGGCATTATATGAACCCGTCTTGCGGAGGAAGAAACTGAGGCATGATGAGGTCAGGTGATTGGCTTGCAGTCCCCCAGCTCATAAGTAGCAGAGCCAGGACTCCGTGCAGGCAGTGTGGCCTGCTTCCCACCGCTCCCTTCATTGTATTTACTAGGCCTGCTTGGTGCTGGACAGCAGGGACCTAACATACACTGCCTCTGTCCTCAAGGAGTCAGAGTCTAGAGGGCAAGGTAGGAAAGGGAGCTTTGCCAGTCTGTGTGACTGAGGCTGTTGCTAAAGGAACATGGGGTCAGGCGCCTCCTCCTGCCTGGGGAGGGAGGTGGAACGGGCGGCAGAGGGTTAGTTTGGGCAGCCAGGAGAGGAAAAGGCCCGGACAGATGCTCACTCCAGCACCTCTAAGGAGGGGACATGGCTGCAGCCCACAGTGAGGGAGGCTTTGTGGGAAGTGATGAGGCTGGAGGGGGCTGATCTCTGGGGCCTTAGAGCCCATTGAGGACCCTGACCTTGTTAGCTGCTTCCTGGTATCAGGCCCTGCTGGGTTGGGGCAGACCGTCCTGATCTACAGGAGAGGATGGGAGAAATTGAGGGCTGAGGCATATGGCAGAGGGAGGGTTGCTTGGGCTCTGGGGTTCCTTCTCCCATCTCAAAGCAGCATGTACCTGCCTTGCCAGAGTCATTGCGGGGACTCAGTGAAGGGCAGAGCACAGAAGGCCAGTAAGAGTTCTCGAGGGTAGGGGTTCCCTTCTTCCCTTTGCCCCTGACATCTCACTTGGTTGTAAGTTCCCAGGGCCATGCTGCCCGCCTTCCTTTCCCCAGATGAGATGCACAGCGCAACTGCTACGCGAAGCACAGAGCTCCCGGGAACGCCTGGGCTTCCCTGGGGTCTCTTTTTCGGCCTTTGTCTGACGAGTTTATACGATCAACCCTCAAGTCTCAGGGTCCCTGGGTTTAGAGCCAGGGAGAAGGTGGCAGAATATATAGAATAGCGCTGACCATCTTAAAGTGAAGCCATCTACCTTAGAGAAGCTTCCCTGACTTCAGGAATCAGTTTCTGAAGGGGGATTTTGACCACTCACCTCAGTCCGGTTCCTGTTTCAAGGCAGCTGTCTAGAATCATCCAGAAGCTTAGCTCCTGAGCCCATTTCAGACATCAGAACACAGCAGTGTGCTTTGAATTTGAGCTAAAGGAAGTGTATGGTTTAGCAAGCAATTGAGGGCTTATGTGGTTTGTTTCAAGTTCTTTGCTTGTATCCAAAGAACATTCCATTTCATCCTTTTGGATTCAAACGTTTTCTTCTTCCTTTTTTTTTTTTTCCCCACCAAGTAGACTTTTTTAACTTTCAGGAGGCTGACACTTCAGAAATCCCACCTTTCATTTTCCTTGAGGACTTGTTAAAGAAGTTCAAACAACCCTTACTAATACATCATTCCTAACTTGTAAAATAGTCCTCCAATCACCAGAGAGCCGCTGGATGCCTACACGATGCCAGATGCTGGGCCCGAGGGTGCAGAAATGAACAGGGCCAAAGGGACAGTGAGTGCAGAGTCCCCGAGATGCGCAAGAGTATAGCGTGTTCAAGGAGCAGGTGGCGAGCAGAGTGAGTGGAGGGGTGGGGACAGGACAGGACAGGACAGGAGGACGGCCAGGCCTTTTAGGCCACGGGGAGACATCCGACACTGAAAGTCATGGTGTCCCTCTTGCATTTTGCAAATTACACTATTCTTTCATTCAACATATTTGTTGAGCATTTTTCTAGGAGCCAGGCACTGTGCAAAATGCAAGAATAGACCGTGAACAAATAATATAAAATAAGACCAAAATAGCGAGAGTGCCACTGAGCCATGCCAGCTAAGAAGGGGAATTCACGTTGAAATGAAGGTCTTAGGAACTACTGGGATCTGATGAGAACGTGGAAGCAGAAGTGGGGACGTGGGCTGGACCTATCCCAGGGGCAGCTGAGAGAAGCCGTTAAGAAAGAACACAGGCTCGTGGGACCAACCAGGGTTCAATCCCAGCTCCAACTGTGTGACATTGAGCAAGTTGCTTACCCTCCCTGAGCCTCAGTGCATCCTGTCTCTCAGCTCCTGGCCAAAGTAGATAAGGTAGAGGGACTGCAAGGTGCCCGGCAGGCAGGAAGAGCTCAGGAAATGTTGGCTGAACAGGGGTGGAGCAGTCTAAGGTCTCAGGAGGGGAAGAAAGAGAGTTTTTAGCCATCTACTGAAGCTTCAGGGTTGAGAAGAGAGGGAGAGGAATTTCTGGTGAATCTCAAGATCTGAATGTAAGCCACTGGCCGTCTGTCTGTTGTAATCTTGGAAGCCATTACAAAATAAATATAGTCGCGTGAAATTTTATTTGTCCCTGACTTCTGTTCCTCGTTCCCACGTAAAACCACAGTTTTTGTGTTTATCGCTATTGCCCGTGAGGAAATAGGATATTTTTCTTTATTCTTTGTATGTGTATTACACATTAAAGCACATCTCGTAGGGTTTCGAAAGTAGAGGGAAAGAATTTCCCGTGATTACATCACCCTAAACAAAGAAAGCTTAGACGCTTTTCGTGTCTCCTCCCTGTCTTTGTGTTCAGTCACATCTTCTCATGCCGGTAGGAAGAGTGCATTGTGGTCTTCCTTCCAGCCTCTTCCTTCCCACTCTCCCTTGTACAGTGAGGAGCTTTCTGTGCTGGGATGCGGTTTTAATTTCAGTCACATTTCTTACTGGTGCGTGAAAGTTTATCTGGCGACTTCTGCCGTAACTTACTCAAGGCATTTTCCTGCTGTTAGACATTCTGGTTGCTTCCAGTATTACATTATTTTCAACTAAACTGTCCTGAGCAGCTTCACGAATACAGGGTTTTCTTTCTTTTGCCTTATTTCTTTAGGAAAAGTTCCCAGAAGTAGAATTTCTGGTTCAGGGGGCACGGACATTTCCTGTGTGACGCTCCCCATATTGCCAAGGGGCTTTCATGGTGGGCCGGACCCACGTGACACTGCTTCGGGCACCCTCTTAGGAGTGACTGGCTTTTCACAGCCACTTCCACGGGCTGGTGGGCTCCCCATCTGGGGGACAGCCCCCGAACTCCATGGCTTGCAAATGTGACAAGGGAAGCGGAGAGAGGGCTGGACCTGAGCGCTCGATTCAGGGTGCACCTCCGGGGAAGCCCCGAGATCAGGGCCGGTGGGTACTCCATTCCCAGAAGTCGAGCCCGGGCTCAGGGAATTCACGTGACTCACTTGCCGTGGTCTGTTCAACCCCGAAGCCATCCTGCCCCACTGTAGTGGACTCCTTTCCCACGACCCCGCTTCCTTCTCCACGACCCCGCTGCAGAGCTTGCTCCCAGGTGCCTTGGAGCACACGGGATGAGCCTCTTCTTTATATTTCAGCATGCTCAGCTGTCACCCCTTGCCAAAACTAGCGTGTGCTTCCAGAGTCCGTCTTCCTGGCATTCTGTGGAAGCATCAGAAAGCAATAATTCCTTCTTCCTTTTTAATACTTTTTAAAGTGCATGTTTATTTGGCAAAGTAAAGAGAAGCGCTCAATAAAAGCCTGGGTCCCCAGCCTTAAATCTTTTGAAGGCAAAGGCATGTGGCTGGAAGAACACAGACTTTGGAGTCCGGTTATTAGCTGAGTCACTGTGGGCAGGCTGCCTCACATCCCTGGGCTTTGGTTTCTGGTCTGTAAAATGGGAACCACAGAGGGTCGTTAAGAGGCTTCAGGGAGATGACACGGTCCAGCCCCACCAGTACTTGGCAGGTCTCAGGTAAGCGGGGTGGGGGGGTGCTTACTGTTTAGGGGTCTGTGGGATGAATTTGAGGACCTTTATCCTGGTGTTTTACCACTCTTTTGTGGATTCCCGAAGTTGTGGGGCTGGTCAGCGTGTTCTGTATTCTTTATATTTTTATTGTATTATTATTATTTTTTGTATTTCTGGAAATATTTTCCATTTGTTGCTTCCAGAGCAAAAGCAGATGTATCACCAAAAAGGTCTATACTAGGAGCCAAATTCCAAACTCCTTTTGTATTGGAAGGTTTCAGGTTTTCAGAGTGATGGTCTGTAGAAAAGCACACGTTTCTCTTTTTTCACCCCCCAGCAAGGGTCCCGCTTGATTGCTTTGCCTTCAGAACCTTTGAGAGGAATGGATTTTTGACACTGAAATGAAGCATTCACTCAGCTTGGACCTGACGGATGGGCCTTTTTCCTCACGTCCGAGGCCATGACTCCTTACTTGAGAGCTCAGATGGCCGGCCATATAGTTCAAGGGGCCACCCACGTCTCAGGCTTTCTGCACTCGGGCTGGTGCAGGCGTGCGAATGTCCTTGTGTGCTTGGTTAAGTGACACAAGCATCAGACATTGCTGGTTCCAAGCCCAGCTCAGGCATCACGAGCAGCGAGAACTTGGATCGCTCTGCCCCTCCCAGTTCCTTTCTTCTTGTGTAACAGCTTTACGTTGCAGTAAGGCGCTCACGGTGCTGGTGCACCGTGGGTGCTTAATAAATAAAAGCTGTTTTGATTTTTAAAAAAATGAAAAAGCACTTGCTTTTTTCCTGATTGTTGCCGATGTCTTAGGAAGGCCGTACTTGAAAAACTGCTAAGGACAATCAGATCAATAGTAATGCCGCCACCCTACTCCCACCCCCATCGTTATAATACAAAGGCTTATCTTTCTCTAGTGCTTCTGACCTCAGCATACATCCAGCAGGTAGGGTTGTTCTTCCAGTTTTCTCCATTAGGAGATGGAGGCAGAGGCTCAGGTCTCCTGCCAGGTCCAGGCCAAGACCGGATTCGGGTTTCAGTGTGTCAGTGGGCATCCTTGTTGCCTGAGTCAGCAGGAGTCCATGCAAGCCCTGCTCTTTGCAGGCAGGAATTTGCCTCCCGCTTTGTTTTGGGAGGCACCTTGTCATAGGAAGGGCAGCCTCCCCTTTCAGTGGGCCAGGCCTATAGCCTCAGGACTGTAAACAAGAAGACCAAAAGTAGGCTGGAATTCATCGTTGTGTGGCTCACCAGAGGCGACAGTGGTTTGTCCCCATGCCCTCCCCTGTGACCAGCTATCCAGTGGCTGGAGGAAAGGACGGCGGCCCCTTTACAGAACACATGCGGGCTGCTCCCCTCTCCGCCGCCCCCCCCCCCACATTATCTCAGAGCCTCTGAGCAGGCCTGCAGGGCAGGGACTACTGCCCCATTTCACAGATGTGGAAATCAAAGCTCAGGGAGGTCAGGGGCCTTGCCCCGTGAGTCCAACACAGGCCTCACATGTCTGACTCCAGAGCTGCTTCCCTCAGGCGTGTACCTCGGGTAGGCCCATCAGCTGTGTGCCAGGGAAAGTGGCATGGAGGTGGCCTCTCCCATGGGCTGTGCCTCCGCTTCCTGGACTCTCGCCGATGGGCACCTCAGCCCCAGTCTAGGACCCAGGGCTCGGGTGCTCTCACGGCAGGCTGGGTCCGAGGTAAAAGCCGCTTTCTGCACAAACTTCTCTGGGTCCGGGCCTAGGGATTCTGCATTTTCCCTGCTCTCTGGAAATGTCTGATGGCCATACTGGACTCCACGCAGACACCTCGTCCACGGGCCAAAAATCCCTGTGCTGGCGGGGCTGTCTCCGGCCCCAGGAAGTGGCTGGGTCAGCCTGAGGGCGCTTGGGGCACTGATGTGATGGCACACCAGCCAGGCGCCAGGCCTGCTGTCTCATCCACAGCACACTGAGACTCTGCCGTGAACGGGCTCACCCAGGGAGGGGCAGGGGCAGGATTTTAAGGGAGTCTGGCTGGCTCTGAACCCTACGAGCATCTTACCCTCTTCTGTCCTCCCTACCCTGCACTTACTAGGCGGGACATGGGAACACTGTTACTTGTGATACGGATTTCCAAATTCTGTGCTGGGTTAGTTGGAAGAGGCCTGATTCTAGCCCTCCCTAGCCGTGTGACCTGGGGCGGTTCACTTTGCCTCCTTGGGTCCCAGTGCATTGTCTGCAAAATGGGGCTGCTTGTTAAGCAGGGGTGTCGTGAAGGTCACATGGCACTAAGGGAGAGCGCCTGGCAAATGACAGGTGCTCAGTTGAGGTGAAGTGGCCTAAACCTATGGAGAACTAAAAACAGGTTGCATCCTTTGTTTTTTTTTTTTTTTTTTTTTTTTTTTTTTTTTTTTTCTTAAAATACCAGAGCCATGATACTGGGACAAGTGGACTTTCTTTTGTTTGTTTAAATCAAGAGTCACAGACTGTGTGATTTCTCCATATGGAACACTTCACCTAAATAACTCCAGCTTCATCCTCCTCTGCTCCTGAACTCTGTCCAGGCCATCCGGGTGTTCTTCATGCTCCGTTCCCTGTCACTGCAGCTGCGAGGGGAGCCCGAAACCCAGTTGCCCCTGACGCGGGAGGAGGACCTGATCAAAACGGATGATGTGCTAGATCTGAGTAAGTCCTGGCGCCAGGGAGGGGCGGAGGTGGGGAGGGGTGTGCACGCTGCCACATCGGCTCTGGTGTCGCTGGGAGGGTCCATGTGTGACCTGCGTTTGCTCCCGCGGTTGATCTGTCACCAAAAGCTAACAGAGTGTGCGTGTCCTGCCAAACTCAAAGAAGGGGCCCTGGATGCTGGGCACCTGGCAGACTTGTCTGTGCGGGCTCTGCTTTCCGGAGCCCAGGTGGAGCTGCGCAGGGTGATTGGAGTGTCCAGCGTCCCTGCCCTCCACATAACCGTAGCATGATGGGCTTTGTGTATTAAGGGGTTTCTGTAGGATTCCAATGATTAAAGGCCTCTGCTATGAAAAAGGGGAAAACTTTCAAAAATGCAAATCAGCAGCCTGTATGTGAGGCAGAGGAGGGGAGGCTGGGGAACCATGTGCTCAGCTTGCAGCCTTGGGCTCCCTCCCTAACCACACGCAGTGCCTCATGCTATCCTCGGCAGCATGAGCATGAGGCTGTGATTAAAAGTGACAGTGGGTATAAAGCCTGGTTGAGCTCCTGTAATCCTCCTCATACGAATATAGCTCTCTCTTTCCTCCGTTTGCTGTAGGGCACGTGCACACGGATGGGCAAAGTGGTTTTCTGTTTCTTAAAGGCATTGTGATATGGTAGGATTCTTTATAAGAGACAGAAAACCCAACTTAGGTTGGCTTAAGGAAAAAGGGGGATTGGCTGGTGTCACTGGAAAGTCCAGTAGTACATCTGCCTTCAGGCATAGCTGGATATAGGTACTCAAGCAGTGTCATCAGGAAGCTGCTGCCCTGTCTCAGCTCGGCTTCCCTTTGTTCTGGCTTCATCCTCAGGAGGGCTCTCACCAGGTAGCAACAAGGTGGCCATCTGCAGCTCCAAAATCTGCTGAACCAGCTAAGCGGACCTGCCAGAAACAGGGCTTCCTTTTCCTGTAACTTCTGTGGAAGTCCACAGCAGGTGGTCTTCCTCTGGTCTGGCCTAGGTGGTCGGTGGGCCGTCCCTGAACCGGTCGCTGTCAGATGAATATGATTCATTACTGGGCGAGGCCAGGGTCATGTGGTGAACCCTAAGCTGGGAGGTGGGGCCCATTTCTTTTCAACTCCATCACCTGAGAGGGAGGAGGGAGGTTGCCCTCAAAGGAAACTCACAACGAGATGGAAGCTGAGCAGGCAGGAGCGGCAGATGGCCACTCTCTATGGCCCATGGTAAGGACAGGGTCCCCGCTGTTTCAACTCAGCTTTACTGAAATACAGTTTATATCTGATAAAATTCAGCAAGTTTTAGTGTACCATTGGATGAGTTTTGACAGAAGTGCTCAGCTGTGTGACCAGCGATCATGATGTAGACCATGAGGGTTGGCATTTGATCCATTTGACACGCCCTGTCCTGCTGTGAATTCCCCAGAGCAAATGATTGAAACCCCTTCAACTTCCGTTTCCTCACCTGGAAACTGGGGATGACTTCCTTATATGATGGACTTGTTTTGAGACTTGAGCGAAATATAATATGAAATACCATATGACAGAGCATAGTGTCTAGCATATAACTGTGCTCAAGGAACTGTAGTCTGTTACCTGCTAATTAAAGCAGGTGATGCATATAAAGAGCAGAGCACTCTGCCTGAATAAAAGGTTCTCTGTGATTATTGTGGGTTTTACGGGCTTGTCTAACTTTTTTTTAAGATTTATTTATTTATTTATTTGAGAGAGAGGGGCAGAGAAAGAGAATCTCAAGCAGATTCCCTGCTGAGCGCAGAGCCCAACTTGGGGCTCGATCTCACGACCCTGAGACTGACCTGAGCCAAAACCAAGAGTCGGATGCTTAACGGACTGAGGCACCCAGGCGGTGCACCTAACTTCTTCTTTTCCTCTTCTTAATCTCTTTTTTTCTTCTCTCTCTTGGAAGAACAAGGAAGCTAAGTCCCCTTTGGGCTGCTCTGTGCTCATCTCCTTTGGTCCTTTTCTCCTTGAGAAATTGTCATAGGGATTTTTCTAAGGGTTTAAATTGATTGAGTTGGCTGCAGAGAACCATAAACCAGTCTTTCTCTGATTTGATTCAAGGGAAGAGGGAAACAGCTTGCTTTCAAAGGGACCACTCCATCAGGGCAGCAAGAATGTTTGCATCCATGAAATGGAATTAAATTTTATGCTGGGAATTCACATTCCTTCCTTCTCCCCCCCCACCCACCCCCAGGAATGGCCTGCTGAAATAAAGGTTAAAAGTATTTCACTTATCAATTTTAATTGATTAGATTGCTAGTTGAGATCACTTAACTGGAGCCTTTTTGGGTAGTTGGCCATTAAGAACGTAATGGCTGTCTGTCTTTACCCAGCCCGGTCACAAATTATGTCTTTGCTAAAGAGAGTGCCATCCAGAAAATACTAGGAATTACGGATTTTATGAGCACATGGTACTAGAATAAGATAGCATGTGTTGTTGTTGGACTTTGTGTCCTTTTTTCTTTGTATTTCTCCCGGTGATTATTCTTAAATGCAGGAGCATCTGACCTTCCGGTGGGGAAAAATCAGTATGCTTCGCATGTCACAAAATGCCTTCTACGTATATAAAATGTAGGCAACATCATGATGTAGGCAAAGGCATTCATATTTGCCGAATGATTGGAAGCCGGGCATGCCTCTCGTGAGCGCCGTGATTTGAAGAAAGCTGACTCAGGGAGAAATGCTGGGGGCTGGTCAACTTCCGTGGAAGGTGATGTGATCCAGGCGGACAGGCTCAAAGGCACGCCAGCCCCACACCACAGGAAGAGGCGGCTTAAAGTGTGTTTACTGACCTTGTCGCACTCTGATAAGAAACCACGGCCTAAGAGTACACAGAAGCCACATGACGTGTCTGCTGACCAGCCGCAGGCCTCTGGGCAGGTGTGCCCGGTGAGCTCTGACATGGGGGTTCCGGACAAGGAGCATGGTGGAGGCCATCGCCCCCTGCAGAAAGAGGCAGAGCTGACTGTGCTCGAGGCTGTGTTGTTTCTGCTGGAGAGGAGAGTGGCGTGGGGCCCAGGTCAGGGACTGGCAGCCGGGAGGGAGGGGGGATGGGAAGGGAAGGCTAGCTTGACTAGATAAAATGGATGAGACTTTTATTTTAGAGAGAATGGCACCATGAATCTCCACATACCCCGCCTGCGCTTCAAAGGTTATTACTCTTTCACTACATCTCATTCCATCTGCTCCGCCATTTCTCTTTTCAAAATTACCTCCTCTTACCTCCACCCTCCCCGAGTGTAGTAAAGCCAATGGAAGACATCATACCATTGCATCTATAAATACTTCTCTCTCACAGAGAAGGACTTGGGGCTGCTCTTTGGCACTGAATGGGTCACCACCGTTACAGATCATGAGCTTCCCCAGCCCACCTGTGGCTCTGGGTGGAGCGGGGACAGGTGGGCGGGCCGGCCGGCCGCACTGACATCCGCCTTGGCCTTCCCTGGTGTAGCTGGAGGTCGTCGGCCTTGACACCTTGCTCAGGGTCTTCATGTTCCTGAGGCTCAGTGGCCTGGCCTTTAAAAAATGGTTCTAAAAGACGTGCAGGGAGAACCATTGAAAATCAGATGCGATCACGTTGGTGAAGCACATGGTGCCACGCTTGGTGCACAGCAGGTGCTCAGGGGAGAGGGGAGGTGAGAGCTGGCTGTTTCCCCTGGTGCAGCTGCTGAAACAGTGATGTAGAACTTATACTTCAGGGCTCCAAGGGGTGGGCATTTTCTGCTCTAACAATGTTTGGAGGAGCGTATCCTGACATATTTAAACCAGTTCGTCATTTGTGTGATGGCACTGTTTTGAGGGGTAAGAAGACCGCACTGGCTACTTGGGACCAGACGAAGGGTGGTACACCCCTGCCCAGGCAGGGCGCTCTCCCATATGTTCCCTCATGGGCCTACTGACCGACAGTCCCCGGGAGTGCCCTGAGGACAAGCAGGCTGTGAGGAGAAGCCAGGTTCCTGCCAGAATTGGCATCAAAGCCTTCTGAAAGGAGTCTTGCCTGTTTCTAGAAAATATGGCCAATCACAGGAGAAATTCCCCCATTATCTAAATATCCTAAGTAGATACCAGGCATCCTTAGGAAACTTCTGGATTCCTTCCCAGCCTTTTCCACGTGGGCACTTGACATGTGCACGTTGTACCCGTAACTTGTGCTTCCCACACCTCATCTTGTATTCGGATTTTCTAAATCCATTCATGAGACCATTCAGCAAAACCCATCTACTCGTTCAGCTACATGTTGAGCACCTGCTGTATGCCGGGCACTGTGCTGGGAGCTGGGATGTGATAGGGAACTGATGACAGACTTGGTCTCAGCTCCGTGGTGCTTCCGGTTTGGGGGGGGGGGGGGGGGGGGCGGGGGGGAGGACTGCCAACAGGAAATCACAGGTTGTTTGACATGGTCCATGGAGGTGACAAATGGGGGTCTGTGTTCAAGAATAACTGGGAGAAAAGACCTCCTACGCTGGTTAGAGAAGGCTTCTCTGGTCAAGTGCCATGCAGAGAGGGACCAGAAGATTCTGAGAAAATGCAAAACTGAGGCCCACCAGTTAGAGGGGTTGGTAGAGGTGACGCTGGGAGGTGGGAGAGAGCGTGGCCTGTCCGAGAGCTGGTGCGGCCAGCAGGTGAGGAGCCAGGGAGAGAGGGGCTGAGATGAGCCAGGTCTCAAGTCCAGGGCTGTGGGAAGCCATCTGAGGGTGTACTGGAACGGCCATGAGCAGCATGGTTCCAGCGGGGGCCCATGAGCCATGTCAAGGGGCTGGGGAGGCCACCTGGGAGGTGGTTATGAACATGGGCTGGGGAGCCAGAATGTGCCTGGTGTGAAATCCCAGCTTTGCCCTTGTAACTTGCCAACGTAGAGCCTTCGACAAGTACCTTAACGTCTTGGTGTCTCAGTTTTCTCATCTGTATAATGGGAGTAAATGAGTTAATTAATATATGTGAAGTGCCTGGAACAGTGCCTGGTATAGTCTCTGAGAGGCCATT